ACTGAAATGAGATTGAAGGTAACACTAGAGACATGCAACACATTTTGGAGAGTGAGATTCTGGTTGATTCTAACAGTTCTGAAGTGACGAGCTCTGATACTAGAGCCAATTGGTAGGGTAACAAAGGTGTTTTCAACAGAATGATATGAAATGAAGGATGATAAGGTACAACACATATGATTAGATGATCCAGTTTCAATGATCCAAATATTCTCAAGTTCCACTGTTGTAATGAAGTGAAAGTGGATAGTGTATATTACTTGTATTGTCAGGCATTGGATGCAGATACCTTGATACTGAATGTGCGTATGGTTGCATTCGGTGATTGTGATGTTGAGGATCGTGTGTTTGAATGTTGGAGTAGCATCATTAGTATAGTATAGTCTTCATTTGTTATCCTGAGTGTTGTTGTGTTGTTAGGCCTATGATATAGGTCATTTTGTCTAGAGTGAACTTATTGTCCCTAGTCTCTAGTACCTCCAAGGGTGGTTGCTGCTGCAAAAGTTGGACTTGAGATTTCTTCTTGTCACGACTGTTTCTCTACGAATCGAGAATAGGAGGATTCGACAAAGCAAGAAAACAACAGTAACAAACACACGACACACGATTGACGTGATTCATTAACACAATGTGTGTACATTAGCTAGTTCACGGGCATGAGAGAGCCAGTTTCACCAGACTTTGAGAAGATACAAATTATAGAGGAATATGAGAAGTATTTATAGGACTTCTCCATGGTCTAACCCTAATCCAATAAAATAAAAGAAAAATAGTTACAAGGAAGTGAATTGGGGGAGAGGGCGGCCAAGGAAATTAAATTAGGAATTGGTGACTCTAACTACAACATCCCAATCGAAGTGATTCGGGTCCATTTGTACACATTTTAATCCTCATTTCTGGATAGTTTGGCTTCGCATTTCATCGTACCTCGACATATTTCACGCTAGGTTGTGTTACATTTCAGGTCCTAGCATGTGTGGGAAGGACGAGGACGAGTTTTAGGTCGATTGGAGGTAAAAAAGCGCAAAAACTGAAAAACCTGAGACCATGAAGTGTGGAGGCATCAACATTTCACGATCGGAAGCAGGAGTTCACGGTCATCAGGACCGTGAATTAAAGCCTGACAGGCTAAAACACAATACCAAACTGCGACCCAGTGTAATCGTAGTCTGGAAATGCAGAATAGTGGCAAGTTCTATTTATCAACCCGGGGTCTAGATCTACTGCCTACTACGTAATTATCTATTATCTAGCAAACTAAGTCGAGTGATTGTGATTTTAAGCAAAAGCAGTAAGAAAGCAGGAAATGGTTCGAAGTTCTTAAGCAAGGGAAGAGTCACTCGGAATGAGTCCCCCTAGTTCTTTAGTTAGGCCAAATTTGTAATTACCTTTGGTTGATTTATTGTAGATTAAACTGCGGAAGATCCGACAGTAGCTTGGAATCTCTTAAGCTGACCAAGCCCTCTCAGACAGACTAACCGGCAGGCGACTAGCCTTCACCGGGATAGACGACTGAGGCAATAAACACAGAATTCCACTACTGGAATTGGATTCCAGTACAAAGCAGTAAATCGATTAACTCTCGTATAACCAATCTACTACTACCGATTGATGAAGCTCTAACAACCTAATCAAATTCTAACTATCTCAGGTTGCAGCAGAAATCAAGAAAAGATGATCAGGCTTCAATTGACTCAATGAATCATGCATCAATCGATTAAAATCAATCAGTATATCAATCCAAAGTCATTACAATCAAGATTCCTAACACATGGAACTAGGGTTCTTCATACCCAAGTGAGAGAGGGTTCTACTCCATATAGGGATGGCAACAAAACCCGAACCCACGGGTACCCACCCGACCCAACCCGGTCAACGCGGGTAAAATCCGTGTTGACGGGTTTTGGGCCGGGTTTGGGTTTAAACCCGTTCACTATTCACCGGGTTGGGTTGGGTTTGGGTTTAGGTAAACCCGACCCATGGGAACCCGCCCCCACCATATAATAATTTTCTTGGTATATTTAATATTCTAAACAACTAATCTTATTTATGTTTGTGGAGACATGTCTAATTTTTTCTTTCTAATTGTGTAGAATGAAGTTGATGTTATCGAGTGGAGAGCGAAGAAACTTAATTGAAAGGAAGAAGCTTTCAATTAATCATGTTATTTATGGATAATTTGTGATTTGCTTCAATTTTCTTGAGTTTTCTAGATTGGTGTTGAACAATTTGTATAGTTAATTTGTGATTTGCTTGTATTTTCTAGAATGGTGTTTTATATATGGATAATTTGTATTGAGATATTGATATTTGACTTTAATTTTGATAGGAACTTGTTATAGTAAATTTTTTACGATAAAAACCCGTGGGTACCCATGAACCCGCGGATACCCAGCGGGTTGGGTTTGAGTTTTTCAAACCCAATGGGTTTTACCCCGGGTTTTTTTCATGGATAAACCCACGGGTTTGGGTTTGGCAAAACCCGACCTAACCCGACCCATTTCCATCCCTAACTCCATAGAGAGAGAGGAAAACAAAATCAGAGCAGTCAGGTGTCTTCTGAATACCAATGATATGCTAGTAGGGACTGGTGATTGCCTGTGTAGGAGCCCACGCACTCTACTTCGGTGATTTTATGGTGGTTCGTGCAACAATCTCTGCCAAATCCGGATTTTCCCCCGGTGATTTGAGGTTCTCGGTTGCATATTAGAAAGCGCATATGATTAGTAGCAGAAGAGAGGAGGTCTAGAGCAGGAGATTATATCCATTTCTTCCTCTCTGCTTCGTACCCTTCTTCTTTTCTATTCCTTTCAAAAATCTCTTTACAGATTGTATACTCTATTTTTTCCTTTTTCCTGCCATAGCCTGAAGTTTTAAGTAGCTTTTTCCTAGTTTGTAAAGTTCTGGGAGGGTTTGGAGGTGAGTTGAGTTCGCACTTGGCCCCAAAAAAGAGAGGAGATTTTGTGTTATTTCATATGTGATCAGCCCCCTCTACCCAATAAGAAGCTCCTGATCCTTATTTGGGATTTCTCTTTAGATCACTTATTTGGAGCTCGAACGGTGGTCTTGAGAAGAACCAGATTTATAGGCTCTATTTTTGGTGCACATGATTGCCTAACCATATTCTATTTGATGAATTCTTCTCCACATCTCACTGTTGAGTTTCTCTCTTTCAGTTATCTTTTTTCCTGTCGATTGGAAAGGTTACATTTGATGGGTTTGTATATCATGATGTTAGGTAGTGTGTGTTACATTAGTCACTAGGTTACTTTTTATTATCCCACTATTCAAGCTTCTGCTATGCTCCCATTGAAAGTAAAGTGGAACCATGCGCATGGTGCTTATAATCCTTTTAACTGATAATTAATGTAATGGTTTGTCCCTAAAATTTATTATCTTCTCACAGTTAATTTATTCTTTTGCAGGATATTGTTATGTCATGGAAGATCTTTGAGGAAGAGCACTTCTACTATGCTATATAGTATTGGTGCTTTAATGTACAACTTAAAGTTGTACCATAACATTAAATGTATAAGTTTAGGTTGTACCATAAAGCAATTTGTACCATTATGTTATGGTACAACTTTACAACTTGAAGTTGTACCATCACATAAAAGTACAAGTCCAAGTTGTACCATAAAAGAATTTGTACAAAAAGTATAGGTACAATCTAAAGTTGTACCATAACGTAAATGTACAATTTTAAGTTGTACCATAAAGGCAAAATCCTATAGCACCAATACTATATAGCATTGTAAAATTTCTCCTTTGAGGAATTTGATTTGTGATACGCTTGAGTAGTCTGGGTGGTGGGAGGTTGTTTACTCACTTGGTTGGTAGATGTAGTTTAGGAAAAGTCATTTGTTTCTTATTTTATTTTTTTCTTATCAGGAACGGTTTGTCGTTAGTCGAATGGAATGTTGTAAATGTTCTCTGCCAACTTATATGGTTTTGTTACTGATGTGACCAAATTTAGTCAGTTATTGAATGTTCTAATGCGAGAACTATGAACCCTATTGGTTGAAGTTTATGTAAACATATAAATTTGTTACTCACTGTTGGACATGTTTATGTCCGTGTCGGTTTGTTTGTTAGTTTAAGTTTATCTACGAAGTTCTATACAATCTTTGCGCATTGGTTTCATCTGATAGGAATTATCAAATCAAACCTCACCGAATAACTTGTGGTATCATTTCTGGTGTTATGCATGCAATTTACTTTCCCAGTAGTTGCTCCAATGTATGGTGAATATGACCAATTTCATTTGTGATTCGGACAAGTCCATTAAACAGGATTGAGATTAGCAATTTCATAATCAAATCACGTTTTTTTAGTATATTTCTCAAGTCCTGACGCGGAGCGCGGGAAAGAAGTCCAGTACATATTATAGTTCAACTTTGTCGGATCAGGTCAGTCCACACAACAAAGACACAGCCCATTAGCGATTAGCCCAAAGTACCAAGCTTTAACCGCCAGCCCAACCCAAATCGCTGGTGCCCGGACTGCCAGGCTGGTGCGGTCCCCTCTCCTCTCCCTCGCTTCTTAACAAAACAAAGGGTGGAAAAAAAATCCCAAATTGAACAAAAAAATTGTACAATCTACAAACACCAAACCCTAAAATCCAAATTAATAACATACTTCCAGTTCCAGGCCTGCAAAATCTGCATCATCTGAATCTAGAGATCAAGAAGGCCAAATCCTTCCTTCCCAGTTCATCATCATCATCACCATGACGTCTTCCAACATCTGAATCTGAATCTCAATGGCGCACTGCTGTTTCCCTCCTTCCTCACCAGCCTCCTCTGTTTTCACCGCCCTCCGCTTCTCTCTCTTCTTCCCCGGTGGCTGACCGGCCATCTCTCTCCTCTCTTTGTTTCCCACATTCCCAGCCAGTAGATTCTGCGTTGTGATACAGTGCCGGCACGGCGTAGTGTAGAGACTTGCACATAACGCAGCCAAACCGCACACCAGCAGATTTCATTCTACCTATGGCTCTTCCAATGGGAAGCTCCGAGTACGGTGCACTTGACGCTGGAGTAGGTCCGATCGTCTGGGTTCGTCGGAGGAACGGCTCCTGGTGGCCGGGCAAGATACTTTGTCCCGACGAGCTTGCAGAGTGTAATCTCTCCTCTCCTCGAACCGGCACCCCTGTCAAGCTCCTCGGAAGAGACGACGCCAGCGTGTGAGTTTTACCTATTCCTGGTTTCCTTGCATCTCTTTTCTTCCTTTTTCCGGGCATTGACCCGATCCCCGGTTATTTGTTGTCTCCTCCCTAATTGTTGATTCAATCTCCGTAAGTTTTGGCCGCTGGTATTAGAAGCTGCAAGCCTAGTAAATCGTACCCAAATAAGAAGAAGATGCAGCCCATTTTTAATGTCCAAAAGCTTCTAAGTTTGTTGGTCTGCTTCCGTGCAATGCACTTGTGTTTGCGGTTTTTTCTGCTATGGAGAGTTGGTAGGTCAAATGCACCTCCCCTGGCCTGCTTCTTATGGAACAAGGTTCTTTTATTACATTGTAATTTTAATGCTGTAGTTGAAGTGAAACTTGGAAGTGAAAAAATTGTTTGGCGAGCTTCAATTACCAATCTCATCTATGAGAATGATTGGAAATCATGCATATTCTACAAATCATGCGTATGTAAGCATACTCTACTAATTTTACATATTGGGATGCTATTTGAACTATTTGGTTGCCCCTGAATCCACAAAGATCTGTTTATCTCCCACTGGATGAGTGTCCTTTGCTGATCTGATAACTTCTTTTGCACTTGGTTGCAGGGATTGGTATAACCTTGAGAAGTCTAAGCGTGTCAAGCCGTTCAGATGTGGGGACTTTGATGAATGCATTGAAAAGGCTGAATCTTCCCACGGGGTGCCGATTAAGAAAAGGGAGAAGTATGCTCGTCGGGAAGATGCTATCCTTCATGCTCTTGAGCTTGAGAAGGAGCTCCTGAAGAAACAAGGAAAATTAGGCATGACTTTTGATCATTCTAGAAGGACATCATCGGGATCTGCAAAGAAGGAAATTGTCACTCTTTATGATGAGCTGGGGAATAATTGCGCAAAACCTGATCTATACCAATTTCATAATAGAGTAGTAGATGTCAAAGATGAGGCAGTTAGCAGTCCCATGCATTTGTTGCAAATGAGCGAAGGAAACAAAATATCCTTGGCTGATGATCATTCTGATGAGATGCCGCGGATGAGAGACTTACGGGATGTTGGGCTTAGAACTGCCCATTTGAAGCGGAAGCTGTCTTCTTTTGACTTTGATAATAGGTGTCCAGAAAATCCAGTCCCTGCTAACAGCACCCTTAGCACTGATAATGGTGAGTATCTCTCCCGTATGGTGGTATGCTAAGAAAATTTTGGCCAAGAGACATGGTAAAGTGTCTTTGGCCAAAGATTGCTCACTAATGCACTCATTGCAACCTGATTTGACTATGGTTCTGCTTTGTTTCAGGAGTTGAGCAGCCCGAAACTCTTTCTTGTGCAAAGAGAAGCAAATTGGTTTACTTCCCAACTGAAGGTGGAGAGTTGATTGATGATAAAGGCCTATCTTCAGGCCAGGTTAAGATGTTCCCCATTGATGTCTCCCTGTCACAGTTTGATGAGAATGACCGCGATCCTCAACAAAGTTTGCTGAATGAGGAAAACTCTTTGTCTGACTTTATGGAGGATGTTGGGCATAATTCTACTGAATCTGATTCTTCCGAGTCTGATTTCTCTGCTACTGAGCCAGAAATGAACGATGAAGTGGCTGTCTTTTCAGGTTGTTTATTTTCCCTATCTTCATACTTGCTTTGTCATTTCTTGATTGATATCACATTGATACTTGAGAGATCCCAGTGCGCATTTGCGATTGTGTTATTTTTCCAGCTGGGAAAGGAAAGCGTGCTTTCTGATGTTTGGTTTAGTGAACTACTTATGCATCTACATGAGATACGTTTTGGTGATGATTTAGGAGAAGATCCACTTCCTGTTATAAGTTTAGTATTTTGCACAAGTATATTGGCCTAATTATTAGCTTATGATGACTCTGGATCCACCATGATCATTGCTTTAGGTGCCGTATTTTTGGAGTTGGTAAAGATACTATGTTTGTTTTATGGATGAAGATTTCATTTATATCAAAATGCTGCCAGGCAAGGCCAGTTTGAATGGAGCCGAAGAGTGGCTTGAATGAGTTTGAATAGTTGTTTTTGTTGTTGCTCTGTGTAAGGGTATAGATGGTATGGTCTTGACATATGTTTCAGTTATGTATGGTTCTTGAGCATAACCATACTATGTAAGATGAATGTCACTATCCAGCTACGAAGAAACTTTTCCTTATTTTGTTGTTTGGCAATACTATCCTTTCGTTTGTGTCCAGAGTGATTTATTTTGTTTGTCCAGTGACTATAAACTTTATCATTTCAGATATGTGAGTTGAAAGTTAGTCCATTTTGTTATATAAATGTAATATGCTTGCATATTTCAGATGGGACCATAGAAACTCAACTTGATGGTTTGGCCGGACATGGAGAAGATGGAACTACAAGCAGCGAGGAGACAGATGACTCTGCATTTTCTGGTGGCATGCCTCCTCACTATCTGGAGGATCATCCTTACCTTGCTAGTAATGAGACAGTGTCCAAATGGCAATTGAAAGGGAAAAGGAACACACGTAATCTTACAAGAAAGTCTCTGGACAGAGGCAATGGAAAGTTCTCTCACCCTTACAAAACAAAAGGAAGCACCTTGGGCTCATATGCTGTTCATGATGATGATGACGAAGACGATGATGATGACGACGACGATGATGAATATGGGACAAGATATTTCGAGTCCCGCAAGGGTCGGCTGAATGATGATGGCTTTTCTTATGGTTTCCAGAGAAGTCATCGTCCAAATACTTTTGGTCAAAAATTGATGAGTTGGGATGACATCACTTGGGAGGAGAGTCCTGCTTTCAGGAGCTTTTGGAAGGCCAGCAGGGGAGATCATTTTAGTCCTTTTGGTGGCAGAGGGCGGTCAATGTTAATAGATGTGGATTTGAAGGTGAAAGCAAGCTACCAGAAAGAAGCAGCTGTTCCTATTGTGTCTCTCAGGAGCAAAGTAGATGGAAGGGCAATAATCGGGCACCCGATCCAAGTCGAGCCCCTGGAGTATGGCTCGACCGATGCTCTCCTGGTTTCCACAAGTGATCACTGTAGCAGTGAGACAACATTCGAACACCACGATAGGAAGGGGGATACAGCTGCAGTACTTCAACAACCATCCTGGAGAACTGCAAGGAGGACCAATAATTTCAGGGTTCCAAGGCCTGTCAGTGGTCAGGTTCCCCGAGTCGGTGGTTCGGGTCGTAGAGGGTCGACCGGAGGTGGTGGAGTCCGGAAGGGCAGCAGTGGTCAGGTTCCTCGGCCTATGAGGAAAGTGGGTAAGAAGAAAGCGGGGGGCATGTTGTCATCTAATCAGAAGACAAGGATGCTCTCCTCCATAGGGTTCCAACAGCATAAGGGCGTAAGTAGTAGCAGCAGCGGTGGCGGCAGCAGCAGCAGTGAAATGGGTGGTGGGGTTATGAAAGGGGAGACTTCCGGGCTCACCACGGTGGCTTGCATACCTGTGAAGTTAGTATTCAGTAGGTTGCTGGAGAAGATAAACAGACCACCGTCATTTGGAGTCAAGTAGCTATAATTTAAGGTGGATACAGATTATAGACAAGTACAGCAGCAGCAGCAGCATTAGGAGACATGTACAAGTTTCTTTTTTAGGTTCCCCTTCTTTCTTCATTTCTTTTTTTCCTTTTGACAGAAAAAGAAAGGCAAAAGGATAGATGGATATATAACATATAGATAGACACACTGACATGGTAGGTTCAAAGGAGGTAAGCAATGCAGCAATTGTTGCTTACTAATCGTGGGGGGTGGATTGCATATTCTTGTCATTGTTATTGTTTGACTTTCGATTTTCGACACGGAATGGAATTGTGATAGGCATCAGAGAGATTTGTGATTGCGGAAGGAGAAGGCAGAGTTAGTCCAAAGGCAGGGAAATTGCCTGGGTACATGAATGTACATTAGACTTGCTTTTTTGTGTGGCAGAGAGGAAACAAAAAGCAACTGGAACTTAAATAGGAAACCTCATTCTTTTCTTTGCAGTTTGCTTGAATTTGCCGCTTCTTTCATTCGTTTGGCTTGCATATTTCGAAACTGAAATTGGTGGTCAGATAGAAATTAAATTCCAAAAGATGACAAATTTCCAAGAGTCGGTTTTTGTTTCCTCCTGAAATCACTTGACTAGCAATGGACAGAGTCAGTTTGAAAGAATCCAGGTGACTTGATTAAACATATTTTTACTTCTGCACTCTACAGTCTACACTGTACATTGATATCAGTCTGTTAGCAAGAACAGGGAGTTCGCAGAGCAAAGCTAAAAAATCAGAGCAAGCATTATAGCCCCGTGGAGATTTGCCCTTTTCCCCTTTTTTTCATTTTTCGTCCGCAGCAGTAGCTGCTGCATTGACATCGAGCCGGACTCTGTTAGGCAAAGGCCTTGCGATGAGTCCATCAGCCGCCCAGCCAACTGAAACACTGTCTTCCCTAGCGTGGTCGAATTCCCAACGGACGTATTCCAGGGACAACCGCAGCTTCCCACCTCGTTCACAGTCAGCAGAGATGCTTCTTGCTTCCATTCCAGCATTTCTTTCCAGCCAGTAAAGGTAGTTTGCCTGGAATACTGACTGAAGCATGTCTAGTGGTGAACAACTCTCTTTAAGCACTACCTGTAGTGTAAAAAAAAGCCAAGTTTAAGCAAACCCACTAATGATAAGATTCTAGAGATGCAAGTAAAGCAGAAAAAGAAAACTTACGCAGAATCTTCCCTTGTGTTCAGTCAACATGTACCCCTCGTCCTGATATAAACTGAAGAGCGCTAGTGCGTCATCCTTGTTGTTCACAATATCACCAAGGCTAGACCCCAACTGTAGCCGTTTTACTATTTCAGCAGCCGCATGCTTTGCCTCCGAAGATAGAACATCCGGCACCGCCTGGAAAATCAAATCAACTGCCATGAGAATTGCAGAGCCTAGTAATACAAGGCTCCCACCTTGGAAAGCCAGAGGAGAAAAGAGAGTAAATAACTCACTCTGCCACCAGAGTTCGTGGTGAGAAACGGTATAGCTGAAAATACCGGTTCTTCCTCATTGACCTCTTTGATTGGAGGGGCTTGCCCACTTAGAAGATATTCACTGAACACTAAACCTGTTTACATCAATCAACAAGGTGATTTTTCAGTATGACAAGATCGAAGATGAGCACTAGCAATGCATTTTCACAAGTGGTCTTTAAATGAAAAGGAAAAGAGCATAGAAGAGAGTACAAAAATTACTTGCACGATAAGGGTTTAATGTCCTCAGCTGGATGGATTGATACGACTTGAAGTTGCAGAACATATGTATTACAGTAACCACACCAAACGTTGTAAGAGCAAGGGGAATTGAAGAGCCTATCTGGTTGGCAATTGCTATACCAATCATTATCCCTATAAATTTGCTGACCATTCCTTGAGCTTCGCCTTTTGCGATCACCTACATTTAGCAACAATTGGTTTAGGGAAGCCATCGATATAGAAGCTTGGTAGATGAATAGCACAGCCAGTAGAATCAAGGGATACCATGCGAATAACTGCTATGGTGACATCAAGACATGACGAGTGGAGGTAAACAAAACATGCAAAACAAATTTTTACCTCAGCGAAGTTCCTTTGAGCAGCAAAACCAGCATAGAAACAACTCCTAGTAGCAGCCTGTAGAATATATCATCATAACAAGTCAGATATGCTTAATGCAACCAGATTAAAGGCAAACAACAAAGTTGAAAAAGAGAGCAAGAGGTAGGGAACAGGCCTGGATAAGTGATGCAGCCGACCGCCCAGCTCCAGCAACAGCACCAATGAGAACAAAGAGATGAGGGAAAGCAGGAGTTAGCATCTCCAAACCAAAAGCAGCATTTTCCAACAAATCAGCAAAGAGCCTCCACCCTTTGGGGTTGACATCAAAATGGCGCCCGAACTTGGACAACATGATCTTGCTGAGATACCCAATTCCATCCTTGAGCACCCAATTGATAGCAGCAGCAGTTGGGATGGCTCCTTTCCCCAATCCAATAGCATAAAGCAATGCCTAATGTTCAACAACCCCACATAAAATCTCACTCCAAGTTTCATACCATATTGTGATCAGAAAGCAATAGAATTAAGTAAAAGCGACCTGGGTGGCAAGAACCCCGCTTATCTGGCTGGCAACACCTTGGACGCCGCGCCAGAGGGAGTAATCCAAGTAATCAGAAGTGACACTGTGAGGGAAGCCCTCAGGAAGCATGAGGCGGGTGAGAAGAGCTTTGCACTGGAACCAGAGGTTCCCAAAGCTGTAGTAGTCATGCTGGGAAGATGATGGAGCGATAAAGAACTCATCTTTGATGAAATCGGGGATGAGACTAATCCTCCTCCCTCCCTGAACTTCCCAAACGCTCTTAGGTATGTCGCTATCCTCATCACCGTCCACCGAAGTCGCCCGAGCAAGTGCGGAAGAGGCTAACTGTAAGTGGACGAAGGATAAGGCTACGGTGCAGCAACATAACAGGAAGAAGAAGGAATGACTGTTGTTGGATCCACTTGAAGGATGATCATTGCCACCATTCCACCATGGATCAAAAGGGTTGCCGTTGTTGTTATTGTTGTTGTTGTCGTCCCATCCACCTCCTGAATTATCCAAGAGAGATTCGAGGTGGAAAAGGGGAGGGGTTTCCGCAGACTGTGCTTCCGATGCAGCGACTGTGGCTTGCATCCGTAGGGATATTGAGAAAGGAGAAGGAGGAGAGCATGTGGGTATCACATTTGGTGGAAGGTCGGAGTGGAGAGAACAAGGAGATGAAACCCAAGTTTTGGAGAGATAGAGAGGTCGGATAATGTAGCTGCAAGCCCAGTTCACCATTTTTCTCTCAACCTCTATACGTGAAACAACCTTTGTTGCCTCGGGGAGAATTCAAATTACCAGTATCAAGGAATACAAAAAGAGGTCGGAGGAGCTCAACTCCTCCAGAGTAAACTGAGTGTACGATTGAAATGATAGGCGGAAACAAAGATAAAGAACCTTTTCGAGATTGCAGTGGTGATAATGGTGTATTCAGCGGGGAGAAGACCGGCCGGCGGAATCCAATTGCTGGGGTGGGGAGGTAATGGTAGCCGCCAGAATCCTCTGTCCCCCGCTCTCTTCCCCCTGCTAATCAGAATTCAGAGGGGAGAATGCTAATGGGGAAGAAGAAACACAAAACGGTCTTGTATTGAGCTTTTAGGCGATGCGTACGGGCCCATTTAGTTGGGCCCAGTTCAGGAAAGAGAACTATTGGCACAAAGCAGCCGGGCGCCGATTTGAATTTTATTGGGGTTTTAGGTATGGTAGGGGCCCATTTAGTTAAGCCCAGTCCAGGAAAGAGAACTATTGGCCCAAAGCAGCCAGGCGCCCGTCTGAACTTTCCCTGCAGATTAGAGATGGCAACGGGGCAGAGTTGGACAACCATCTCAAAACCCAATGGGTAATCGGGTGCCCGCGGGTCCATTATACCGGCTAAAAACATGAAAAGAAAATTGAAAATGACATAAAAATTCTGGAAAACTGGACACTTCTCACTTTATTCTTAATAACTGATCTGTCAAAGACTCAAAAAGACTTGAAATGAAAAACAGAAAGCTTGCCAAGCTGCAATTGATGCCACTACGCCAGCAGCTCAGCAACAACAACCAAAAACAACATTTGTTTCGTGTTTGTGATAGAAATGATCAAATGAATCAAACAACCAAAAATTATCAGCCGACTCTAAATTCTAAATGTCTAATTCTTAAGAAAAAACTGTAGAATGAAATGTGTTCCAAGCAATAGCAAGGCAGCAACATTCCATCTAGGTTCCAGCAACATCGAATCATTGAGCAATCTGCAATCATCCACCCGACCACCCCTGACCCTCATTCCAATCGATGTAAACCAGCAGACTAGTAGACATCAATTGAAACTGTGTAAAGAACATACAAGAGGAATGAATCAGTTAGTAAATGTCCAATGAATAACACGTTTGCATCAACGGCAACAAATAAAGAAGACCTTTACCTTGGTCCCACAGCAGATTACCAATCAGTCTTCATGAGCAAATGGTGATCTCATTAAGGTGAGTTCTGGATCTAAAAAAGCGAAACAATGCAAAGGTAAGTATTCCTAAATGAACTAATAGAAATTAGAACACACAATTAAAAATGGTCTATTGATCTTACCACCAGGTTCTGCCTCTTCCACAGTTGTATCTTCGACCGTCATTGTTGAGAAGAGTCCATCCAATGCCTCCACAGCAGCCTCCGAATCTGCAAAGAACCAGTTGAATGAGTTCATACTATTGTTAAAACGTAAAACAATAAACTTGAGAGTTTTAGTTGCATGTTACCTCGTTGCATGTCCTCCATTATCCAACTCCTAGTACACATCATTGCCTCCACAGTCGAATAATGCAGCTTGCTCCGGTGAGGGTCTAACAACCTCCCACCAGAACTAAATGCACTCTCAGAAGGCACAGAAGTAATAGGGATTGCCAGAAAGTCCCTTGCAATTGATTGCAAGGTCGGATACTTCAAACCATTCAATTTCCACCACAAGAGCAGATCAAACTCTGTTGTGCGAGGAATGATATCCTCAGCAAGATACATATCCAACTCAGTTGTAATCAAGGAAGTCTTACTCTTTTTCCTTTGACTTACATAGAGTTCAAAGTCAAGTTCAGTGGCAGAGGCAGATCCAGAACCAGAAGAAGTTCCAGTTTCAGAACCAGATTTGTTCTCAGCTTTGGTTTGATAATCACAAATCAAACCACATATCATTTGCTTGATATTCTCAGCAACCAAATCAGTTTCTGTATTCCCAAACTTTCCATCATAGTATTCAATCACATGGAGTTTATATCTAGGATCCAAAACAACCGATACAGCAAGCACAAGATGGATATCATCCCAGTACTTATCAAACTTCAGTAACATTTGACTAGCCATTCCAAAAATCACAGGATTGGGATCAACACCCCACTCATTCAGTTTAAGTCTGAGATCACAAATCTTGGGGAAAAACAGATTGGCAGTCGGATATTTGGAACCAGAGAACAACTCTGTAATCTCAGAAAAGATTTCCAGCTTCCCAATCACAGTAGAAGCAAATTCCCATTGTTCACTAGAAGGAACTGATGTGTAATGATTGTCTCTCAAACTCAAACGAAAGAACACATCCTTGTAGGGAATAGCAACAGAGAGCATATGATAGGTGGAATTCCACCTAGTTGGACAATCAAGGACTAATTTTCTCTCAACAGACAGCTTAAGTTGCTTAGCAACTTCGAAGAAGGTTTGAACCCTCTTAGGTGTAGAATTCAAGTAAACTACACTCTCCCCAATCAAATTTATAGCATCCTTGATTGCATCCAAACCATCCCTTACAATCGAATTCAGAATATGAGCAGAACACCTCATATGAACCAATTTACCATCAAGCAACAAGTCACTGCTCAGAAGCTTATTTCTCATGTGGAAAATCATGGAATCATTGGTGGTACAGTTGTCCAATGTGATTGAGGACAACTTACCATCAATGTTCCAATCCAAAAGACAATCAAACAACCTATCAGCAAGCCTTTCACTAGTGTGAGGGGCTGGAACATACATAAATCTCATCATTATGTTACGCAGCTTCCAAGAGTTATCAATGAAGTGACCAGTTACTGCCATATAACCCCTTTTCTGATTTCTGGCAGTCCACAAATCAGTTGTAACAGAAACCCTCCCCAGATTACCATCAATAATGGTCTGATATTTACCTCTTTCAATACCAAACAAACTCAAAATGTCCTTTTTGACAGTGTTTCTACTAGGAACAGCGAATTGAGGTTGAAGAGAACAGCAAAAACGTTTGAAACCCACATGATCAACAAGGCTAAGGGGGTACTCATGGACCAGAATCATTGAACAAAGTTCCTTCCTAGAAACCTCATAATTGTATTGAGAAGCAGAGAGATGAGGATTTCCAGCAGGTTTATAGTTAGGGCCAAGTATTTTTTGAGAACCATCATGTATCCTCTTTTGGATACATGTATTGATATGGCTTCTTAGGTGTGAAGTTCCATTACTTGTTTCCCCACCAAGGGATTTACGACAGTACTTACACCTAGCCTTCATAACCCCATTAACCCTAACTCGGTTGAAGTGAGGCCACACATCAGAGGTTAACTTACGTTGAGCTTCAAGCTCCTCAACATTACCAGGTTGTTCAGGTTGAGGTTGGACAGGTTGTTCAGGGACATTGACATTGGGAGCAAGGTCAACATTTATAGCAGTATGAGCACCTTCCATCTGAACATAAAAAATTTATGTATTACTACTTAAGCAGTTAAGCCTTAGTTATTATTTATTAACTTAGTTACATTCACAATGACAAGACTACACTTGCAAACAAAAATCTTTAGCAGCAAAATCACGATTACAGTTTAATTAATTTTACTTATTAGCATTATGAATCCACTGATTGTCACAACAAGTCGCAGCATTATGAACAAACAGACAAACACAGTTGAGGCTTAGGAGAGGAGGACGGGATTACCTTCTCGGATTGGAGTTTTATGTGGACTGTCGAGTACCCAATGACAGTAGACTGACCCTCACTGCTCACTGAAGTGATCACTGACTCTGTTCCACTTCAGTTCTCGAAACCAGATCCAAAGTTCCAAACGACCGAGACCAACCTAGCCCAAACAAGAGTGAACAATCACAACGAACACAAAGCAAGTTAGAACTTAGAACTGCAATTTAATGCATGCATGTCTGTATTGACACCACTAACCCATAAATTCATAAAAAGTATAGACGAGATCAAGCAACTTACCCTCGATGACTGGACTCTGTCTGGAGGCTCGGCTAAATTCGTCGATCTATGCTCTCTCACTCTCTATGGACTCGACTGGGGTGTTCTTGTTCTCGATTTCAGAAGATGGCGTGGTGAGAAACGACCCCTCCGCTCTGAATCCCCCCATATATATACCAGTACAAGAAGAGTTAGTATACAGATGGGGGAACGGGGAATCAGGGAAGATACTTGAAAGAAAAGATAAGAAACCCAGAATTAACTTATCTTTTCTCGAAGAATCAGCGATTTGAACTTCGAACGACTCATTTTTGGACTACGGCCGACGAAATCTTCGTCGGATGGTTGCTCTTCGCCTCTTCCAGCCATGAAATTGGTCGAATGGAGGAATTGATGAGGGGAAATGGCGAAAAAATCGGCCAGATCGCGATTATCTAGCGATCTGATCGCTAATCGCTACAGAGGAGGCAGAGAGATTGAGAGAAAGAAGGAAACTAGGGTCTGTTTTTTGGTGAAGAATGAAATCTGAGGCGGCTGCTAGGGTTTCTCAAGGGAAAGCGGAGAATATATATGGCCCTCCAAACGACGTCGTTTTTAACACGGGTAGCCTGTCAGTCGGGTCGCGGGGCGGATACTGGACGAACCACAACTGCCTGAAACCCATGGTTGATTGGTCACGGGTTACCCGCCACCCGTTGACGGGCCCGAAAACACAACCAGTCTGGGCCCTTATCGGGCGGGCTTCGGGCGGATACCCGCTTTTGGGCCCCGGCCTGCCATCCCTACTGTAGATTCTCGTAAAAGAAGGAAAGGATAAAAGAGGCTAAATTGCAAGTTTGGTCACTTTAATTACTAGTAAAGTTCACGTTAGTCATTAGAATTATTTTATTCCATCCGTAGTCACTTAAATTAGGTTAACAGTTCAAGTTTGGTCACTAGCCGTTAATCTCCGTTAATTTTTGCTCATGTGGCGGTCAACTCTTATAGTTGACCGTTAAATAAGTGACGTGACAATTAAAAAATAATAAAATTTAATTTTTAATAATTTTCACTTTATTATTACAAAAAATTTAAAAATAATTTAAAAAAAAAGTCACAAAAAGGGCAACAGCAACGTCTAGGACAATATTCGACGATTTGATGTCCCGGTGGATGATCGGAGGCACCGCGTAATTGTGGAGGTATTCAATCCTCTGCCGTTGTCATTGTCCAATCTCCACAAATCCGACGATGACGACCAAACCTCCATTTCCTCTTCATCTCCTCTCGACGAACTTTACTGCGAGGAAGAGAGGTGGGATTGCGAAGGCGACGATGGGGAGGTTTTGGATTGCATCGACGTCGCCGGCGGTGTGCCCATTGGCTTTCTTCGATTCTGTTGCTAGAGCACGACTTGTTCTGGGAAGAAGAAAAGATAGTTTCCCTCTTCGCCAGAGAACAGAGCGAGGAGAAGCGATGGAAGGCAACAATGGGGGTAAAGCAAACTTGTCCTGCTCGTCGGCGAGCTGTGGACTGGATGGTCAATGTCAGTAGCCACTAGGGGTTTTCCACTCTCACTTCCGTGTTAGCCATCGTCTACCTCGATCGGTTCCTTTCAACACCACGTTACCAGAAAGATAAGCCCTAGATGATCCAGCTCGTCACCGTGACTTGCCTTTCTCTGGCTGCTAAAGACGAGGAAACCGACATCCCGCTCTTGCTTGACCTCCAGGTGCTCGATCAAATGCCGCACAGAACATATAACTCTTAATTTTTCCAACAAAATCGTCGGGATTTACCTATAATGTTGTTCCTTCGGGGGGTTTTCAGGTCGAGGAGACAAAATACGTATTCGAGGCGAAGACAATTCAAAGGATGGAGCTTCTAGTGCTATCTGTCCTTGGCTGGACCCGATGACTCCGATCTCGTTTGTAGATCACATTGTTCGAATCGGAGGCTTGGCCTGAAGAGCAATGTTCACTGGGAGTTTCTCAACCGATGTCGCCATCTCCTTCTCTGCCTAGTCTCCGGTAAGCTGGTGCCTTTGATCCTCCGTCGTTGCCTTTTTTTTAATCTTTTTTTTTTAAAATGTTTTTTAATTTATTTTAGTTCTGAGGTGAAATTATTAAAATTAAATTATTTTTTTATTTTTTTAATTGTCACGTCACTTATTTAATGGTCAATTATAAGAGTTGACTGTCAAATTAGTAAAGTTAATGGAGACTAACGGTCAGTGACAAAACTTGAACTGTAACCTAATTTAAGTGACTACAGATGTAATAAAGTAATTCTAGTGACTAACCTGGTGATGAAACTTAAGCAATCTAGCCGATAAAAGAGGAGAGTTGTGTCTACAATTCTCAAAGTAACTGCTTCTCACCAGTGACCAACGGCCAGCCATCCAACGAGACCCACGATGATCCAACGACCACTCATTCATCTCCATCCATTTCTCCAGTGACCGTATCCATTGTTTCTGTCCGCCGTGGCACTGCCTGAAGCAGCGGCGGGGGAAGTCGTCGGAGCTGATGCCTCTTCATCGTTATCTACAATTGGGGTTTCTCCTCCTGAATTTCCTCCACCGGCAATGATGTTGGTCAGGAAGAGTACTTGCTGCTGCTCATGCCTCGTCTTCTCGCACTCCCCTCTTCTGCCTAGGATTAGGAGGAGGCTCTCCGTCTCCTCCTCCTTTGTCGCCTCCACTCCCAATCTAATCGCCGTCGCGGCAGCTTCCTCCGCCACTTCTTCCACCCTCCATGGCGCCGTCTCCTCCGCCATCACCCAAGTCGCCTTCACCGCACTCGCCATCGCCTCCGGAGCTTGCCTCTCCACTAAGGTCGACTTCTTGTGGCCGAAACTCCAAGACCTTCCCTTCGGTAAGCTGAATTTCGTCGCCTAATTTCTCTTTCCCCCGCTTGTTTCTGTGTGCCCCGATTTCTGTCTGATTCTTTTTGGTTGGTGGACAGAGTCTTTTGCCGTGGAAGGAGTGGATGTGAGCGGCTGTTCCATCTTCAGTGATTCCCAGGTTTACCATCTCTTTCGACCGCTTCAAGAAACGGGGTTGCGAGTTTTTGCTCCCTTCAATCTGAATTGAATTCCCTTATTTACACCCTGATGCTGTTGTGAAGGCAGGTGCAAAAGGCTATTGCATTCGCTAAAGCAGCTCACCATGGTCAATTCCGTAGAACTGGGGATCCTTACTTGGCTCACTGCATCCATACCGCCAGAATCTTGGCCCTGTTGGTTCCTTCAGCCGGCAAACGGGTACGCTTCTTTACCCCATCTTTCTTTCTAATCGGTGGCGAGGTTTCCTTCCCCAGCCTGACTGTTTCAGTAATCTCTCACTGAGTTGCTGTAGGCCACTGACACAGTGGTCGCTGGGATTCTCCATGATGTTGTGGACGACACTCATGAAACTTTGAATCGAATTGAACAAGAGTTTGGTGTTGAAGTTGCCAGGTTGGTTGCCGGTGTTTCCAGGTTAAGCTACATAAATCAGGTGGGTAGTTAGGTTCAAGAGCATTTTGGAAGTTCCAACCCAACCTCTTTTTGTTGCTTCAACACTGAACTAATTTTACCTTCTTGGCTTCCCTCCTCTTCTTGTGTTCATCTTTTTTCCATTGATTTCTTCAGCTACTGAGGCGACACCGCAGGATACATGTTAATCAGGCCACTCTTGGCCAGGATGAGGTACTCATCATCTTTATCCAGTTGATTGTTAATAGCAGTAGTTGTGTCTAGATTGATTTAATGGTCAGATTCTCAAGAATTTTGTGAAGTATGTTGCATTAGTTCTTAAAAGTTTCTTCTTTTTGTCCTTTTAAGGCTAATAATCTGCGAGTTATGCTCTTGGGGATGGTTGATGATCCACGGGTGGTGCTAATCAAGCTTGCAGACCGCCTTCATAACATGAGAACCATGTACCAATTCTTTTCTTTGTTCTCTTTCGATTCCCTCTGTATAACATGAGAACCATGTAATGTTTGTCATGGCTTCGATCCCTAATCTCATCTTTGATACATGCACTTGACTGATGGTTTAAATGTCAAAATCTAGCATTCGGCAAACTGAGGGCTTCAGAGTATGTTACTCATTTTTTATCCGTTTTCTGATGCCCCGTGCTCCAGTTATGCTCTCCCAACACCAAAGGCTCAAGCTGTAGCTCAAGAAACATTACTTGTTTGGTGCTCGCTCGCTTCTAGGTTGGGTTTATGGGCATTAAAAGCCGAACTGGAAGATCTATGCTTTGCAGTTCTTCAGGTTTGTTGATTGTTATATTCTCCATCTGGAGTATCTTACATTTATTATGAGCTGAATGAAACTCCAACGCCAACGAATGTACAGACATTTGTGTATTTATTTTTTCGATTGTCTTGGCTGATGATTATCTTCAACTTGACAACAATTGCAGCCACAATTGTTCCAAAAGATGCGGGCTGATCTGGGTTCTATGTGGAGTCCCACTACCAGAGATCTATCTGTAAGAAGATCTATAAGAGGTGCTTTACTTGCTTCGGTTGGAGGAGGATCTGAGGCCATAGAGCAAGAGGAAGATACCTTGTCTGTGAAGGTGTGCGTTTAATTGTTTCCAGACTACGTAGCGGAAATTGACAGTTCCAGAGTGATAGTCAGAAATTTGATCCATCTAATACCACTAAATGATCAAGCAAAAGTGTCTACTTCCCCTTGTTGCAGGATCTTTTGGAAGCTGTAGTGCCCTTCGATATCTTGTCAGATCGAAGAAAACGGGCCATATTTCTTGAAAGCTTGAAAAATACAAATGAGGCTCCAAAAAGACCAAAAGTTGTGTTGGATGCTGGAATTGCCTTAGCATCTCTTGTTACTTGTGAGGAAGCACTTGAGAGGGAGTTGCTCATCTCAACCTCGTAATTCATCCTTTATCTTTCCATTAGCTGCTTGTAGTTGGAGGCGATAGTACTAAATCTCTTGTTAGTGTCGACTTTGCTGACTTGTTGTTAGTGCAAGAAGGTGGTACTGTTTGTGTATGTCTTAGTGCAAACTCCTTTTTCTTATACTTGCAGCTACGTTCCAGGCATGGAAGTATCCTTATCTAGTCGGCTAAAGAGTTTGTACAGCATTTACAGCAAGGTATTATTAGCTTTCTGTATAGACCAGAAAGGTCCAGCAGCCTATTCCTTTTCAAGAAACTCCTGTCTTAGAGATAAACTGCTCGATGAGTCAAAAGAATAAAAGGTTTTCTCAAGTCCATACCCCTTACTCAAAGTGCAACCCCAATTAAATGTTAGCTAAAGCCATTGTTGGTATAAACAAATTGAAATACGAAATGATGATAATCTTTGCTTTCATATCCACTTCACTTTGGCCCTTTATTCTGAGTTTTACTGGTAACTATGACCTGCTTTGGTATCTAAAAAATCAGTAACCAAGAGCTTCTCCATTATCTTCTTGTTTTTCTGAAGATGAAAAGAAAAGAGGTTGGCATTAGCAAGGTATATGATTCCCGCGCATTAAGGGTTGTGGTTGGTGATAAGAAGGGAACTTTGAGGGGACCTGCCATTCAATCTTGCTACACTTTACTCGAAGTTGTTCATAGGTACATTATTTTCTTTGTTAGTTCGTGCCTATTCATTTTTGTGCCATATTTTACTTTGAGTATGGTTAACGTCCATTTGAATTTGTCCGACATCAATTACCCGTCTGTACCACTGGTCTTGAACGTGGAGATCTCTGATTCGAATCCCTTAAGTAGCACCTAACTAAAAACAAACTTATATCACCCTTATAAAAAAAATTACCAGTCTGTAATCAAAGCTTATTCATTCCACTAAATAACTTGATTGTGGCCTGACACACCATGCTTCTTGGTGTTCTTCTATTGCAGACTCTGGACCCCAGTCGATGGTGAATTTGATGATTACATTATTAACCCAAAGCCGAGTGGCTATCAGGTGAAAATAAAATTGTAACTGCTATTTATGTTATTCTGTTGACTACTAGGACCAGCAGCTAGAGGCCAAACTATTAATATTAAGCTGTACCAACCTCTTTGGATGTGACTATCCTCGCATTGCCTTGCTTATTTTCACAATTCAGATTTAGTTGGGGTTTAAATTGCTCCTTGTAATTACCAAATGATTTTCTCCTTTTCTAATTTGCAGTCGCTTCATACTGCTGTGCAAGGCCCTGATGGTGCACCATTGGAAGTTCAAATAAGAACTCAGGTACAAAACTTCTATTTTCTCATATGATCCTTCCATTGAAAGTTGAAATTGAATATATGCTTAGTCCTTAAACTCTGTGCCTTCTAAATGGACAAGTTTTTAAGTAGTGTTGCACAAGGAAATAATCCCCTGTTCAAGCTACTGCTGTTATTCATTGGTTTTATTTCTGCAGAAAATGCATGACTATGCTGAGCATGGGCTTGCTGCACACTGGCTCTATAAAGAAGCCGAAAACAAGTTGCCTTCTTTCAGCAGCATGGATGAATCTGAAGTGGAAGCAAGCTACTACTTCTCCAAAGATAATGAAGATGGAAACTACAAGGAGGAGAGTCAATTTCAAAAGTACAGATTCCTCAGAGTGGGGCATCCGGTCCTTAGAGTACAAGGAAGTCACCTGCTTGCTGCTGTTATAATAAGGTATTCAGTCACATTTCATTTGTAGCTGCAGTATCCTCGAGCTTTGAACCTAGTAAATGATCTTCATGAGGGAGTTGCTCTTTTTAGAATTGACGAAGGTGGGAAAGAACTGCTAGTCGCTGTGAACTCTGGGCTGGCTGCATCTGAGACGGTGGCTGACAGAAAATCTTCCTGCCAAGTAAAGCGATGGGAGGCCTACGCCAGACTTTACAAGAAAGTTTCAGACGAGTGGTGGTGCGAGCCGGGACATGGGGATTGGTGCACATTCCTTGAGAAGTTTATACTTTGTCGGGATGGTATGTACCACAAGGTATGTACTCTATGTGTGTGGTAATCCATCCATGCATGCTGATGAATTCTATGCAATAAGTCTTAGGGTGGTATTGAACGAAATTTGTGGTGCTTTGTTGGTGGGGGATGCAGCAAGACCAATTCGAAAGGATGCTGCCAACATTCATCCAGGTGATCGAGCTGACGGAGGAAGAGGAAAGTGAGTACTGGGATGTGGTTGCAGCTGTGTTTGAAGGGAAGCCAGTTGATGAAATCATTGCAGGTAAGCCAATCGGATACTCAGCTGCTGTATCATCCACTACTCCAATGGAAGCTGCCAGCATTAACAACAAGGTGAGGGAATGTTTGTAGTGGTTTGTACCAGGTAGGATGGAAATGGGATTTGAACGTGGAAGTGGCTGAATTGGTATGATAGGTACGGCTTCTGAGGGCAATGCTGGGATGGGAGGAGCAGCTGCGCAGCAGCAGCAGCAGCGGGGGCAGCAGTGATGGCATGTCGTTGAATGACAGATCGTCGTCATCATCATCTGCAACGACAGTGGTGCTGGGGGAAGTGGTGGTTATATGTTGGCCGCATGGCGACATAATGAGGCTAAGGAACGGGAGCACCGCTGGCGATGCGGCTCGCAGAGTTGGACTTGAAGGCAGGTTGGTGGCAGTGAATGGTCACCTGGTGATCCCCAGCACGCCCCTCAAGGATGGAGATGTGGTTGAGGTCCGACTTTAGTTGATGGCAAGAAGAATGTTTTGCTGCTGCAGCAAGCCGGCAAGTGCGGTTCTCATCTCACCCATCACATTGTTAATATGATTGATATGTAAATAGTTGGGGGGAATTCGGCAATTTCCATTGTTCAACAAGAGGCATTGGGCATAAGCTGGGTGCCTAATTAAACTGTAGTAGTTCGCATGAAAGACTGTTCTATGCAATGCATGAAGGGGTACTCAATCCATCGTAAGTAAATAGTCTTTCTTGGCTTGTGCAAAAAGATAGAAGGCAAAAGGCTTGTTATGAAAAGGCTTCTCTTCCTCTGAACAAAATCCAATATGAAGCCTTATCGATCCGAAATGAACTTGAGCTGAAGAAAGGAGCAGCCTTTTCGATCTGCTTCTAGTTCTAGGCCCGTCCGCTTCCGGCGCCAACTCGGGAAGCAAATCAACCGGAGAGTATGAGACTAGGGCTGAAATTGGCCAAATTGTTGCTTGAAGCGGATTATATTGAAACGGATTATATCGAAGCAAATATAACGTGGTCTGATTTTAGATTCTTTGAATTTTATATATATTGAAGGAAAACGAAACGAAGTGATATTATTAGGATTGACCCAAAACAATATCAAAGCGGACAAATTCATTGTTGATCTAATCATTGGTCCTAAAATGTCATTCAGTATTGGTCCGGTTTGCCGATATGCACACCCTTAGTCAGACTCGGGCCCGTCCCTGCGTCATCCTGGATAAGTACTGGTCCTTTTTAACTCTATTTGACCCCTTTCGTGACACTGACAGACACATCTCCTACATCTTTGTCATGTTCGACCACGACACCCATCTTTGCGAGCAAAATTCAGCAAAGGATGATGATTATGAAATACCGAACCCATTCTCCGTGGAATTTCCGGCGTCTCGTCACGTTCGTGGTGGCCGTGGAACCAGACAATTAGGACTAGGACGATGACGATTCAGATACTCCTCGCATAACCTTATTAGAAAGAAGCAAATTCCACTCTAGTTTGGAATAAAACGGAAAGGAAGATGACAAAACTTGGACCTCAAACGGTGCAATTTACAATTCAGCAAAACTTCATAGCCCTCCTCCCTAACTCCCATCTCTCTTCTCTCATCTCACCTCTGGCTCTGGCTCTGCTTTTGTTTTCCTTTGTCCATCTTATCGTGGTAGCGAGCAGAGAGAGCATCCATGGAGGAAACCAGCTGGATCATCGGCGCCATCATCACCTCCCTTGTATCTTCCCTAGCTCTCCTACTCTGCAAAACCCACCTCTTCCCATCCCACAACAACAAGCTCCCACCAGGACCCTTCTCCATCCCAATCATCGGCACCTTCCTCTGGATGCTGCGAAGCAAAGGATTCTCCGACCTCGAACCAGCCCTCCGCAAGCTCCGCGCCAAGTACCGCTCCATCTTCACAATCCGCATCTTCTCCCGTCCGGCCATCTTCATCTCCTCCCACTCCCTAGCCCACCAAGCCCTCATCCAAGACGGCGCCGTTTTCGCCGACCGCCCGCCCGCTCCGCCGCTCTCCAAAATCACCTCTGCCAACCAGCACAACATCAGCTCCGCCTCCTACGGCCTCACCTGGCGCCTCCTCCGCCGCAACCTCACTTCCCAAGTCCTCCACCCTTCCCGCGTCAGGTCATTCTCCCGCGCTCGCTCCTGGGTCCTCCAAATCCTCCGCCGCCGCCTTCAATCCCACCATCAACAAGAACAGAGGCTGAAGGATCACCTCCACCACGCCATGTTCGCCCTGCTGGTGCTCATGTGCTTCGGCGACAGGCTGGGTGAGGATCAGATCGAGGAGGTGGGACGAGCTCAGAGAAGGATGCTGCTTGGATTCCAGCGCTTTCAGATACTCAACCTCTGGCCTGGGGTCACTAGGTTCCTCCTCCGCCGCCAGTGGAAGGAATTTCATCAGCTCCGTCACGAGCAACATCAGGTTCTCCTCCCACTCATCAGAGCCAGGAGGGAGAAAATTGGCAAATTGGAGGAGGAAGAAGAACAAGCACGGAGCTGTTACGTGGATTCGTTGCTCGAAGTGGAGCTCCCCGAAGATAATGGTAACGAGAGAATGCTCAGCGAGGACGAGATTCTGAGCCTGTCCTCCGAGTTCCTCAGCGCGGGGACTGACACGACCACCACCGCATTGGAGTGGGTCATGGCGAATTTGGTCAAGTACCCTCAAGTTCAGAAGAAGCTGTTTCGTGAGATCGAAAGCGTGGTGGTGGAAGGGAGTGGAGAGGTTTTGGAGGAGGATCTGGGGAAGATGAAGTACCTGAGGGCGGTGAGCTTGGAAGGATTGAGGAGACACCCGCCGGCACATTTCTTGCTGCCTCATTCCGTGACGGAGGATACAGTGCTGGACGGCAAGTTCATGATCCCCAAGAATGCTGCTGTAAACTTCATGGTGGCTGAGATGGGGTGGGATCCTCAGGTTTGGGAGGATCCCATGGCGTTCAAGCCGGAGAGGTTCCTGGAAGGTGGTGGTGAGTTCGATTTGACTGGAAGCAAGGAGATCAAGATGATGCCATTTGGTGCAGGAAGGAGGATGTGTCCTGGGTATGCCCTAGCCATGCTGCATCTCGAATACTTTGTGGCTAATCTTGTGTGGAACTTCAAGTGGGAAGCTGCTGGGGAGGTCGATCTCACGGAGAAGCCTGAGTTTACCATTGTTATGAAGAACCCGCTCAAAGTCAAGCTGTCGCCCAGGGTGAAATCCTCGTCGTCGTAGTAATACCAACTATACCTTGCATAATGCATAGTGCAAGAGTTCTGCACTGCCTTGTGGATATAATAATGAATTTGGATGTGTAACTCAATCCAGAGTGTATGACATGGATCAATAATCTTGAATGTGTCACATGCTATACAATGAGCTCCTTTGGCTGATGAGTTCTCAGAATCCATAAGCAGAATAATCGATAGCTTCAAATCAATTCATTGGCTCACCAACAAGCAACAAGTGATGGATTCGATCCCCAATGGATTCACAGTTAAACTGATCTGTAAATCAAAGATTTGAATACATCAATCTACTTTGCCATATTATCCTCAATGAACAGGTGGATACAACGATCCATTGCAAGCTCCACGTGACACAATCCATCGCAAAAATTCAACAACCAATCAATGAAGCAATAGATTTCAAAATCAGTGTTTCCTAAAAACAATATGAACTCAATCCATCTACTCGTAATATTCCATTCATTTCGACTTTAAAGTAAGTGATACCTACATAATCATGAATAACCACTTGATGATTCTTATCAACTGGTACATCGACCATCAGTTTCCAGTCTCAGGCATGTGGGACAGTATTGAATCCAAGCATGCTCAAAAAAAGGAATCATGATCTTAAGAATCTAAATAACTGATAAGGTGATAGGACATACAGAGGTTGGTTAGGATTTTCAAGATTGTTGCATAAATTTGTCTCCGGAGATCGATCCATTTCATTTCTTCAATAATTATCTCATCGCCAATCAGTCTCGATCTCGATCCATTTCATCCCCATCTGCTGCTGTAGACTGCTGGACTCCATTTTGTTCCGAGTTGGATCGATACTGCTGGTTTGGACTTGCTTTGTCAGTTTCATCCTGCTTTTGAGTCGCTAGTGGATGTGGATCCGTACAAGCAGCCAACGTTGAGGTCACTAACAAATTATGCAATGTAAGTGAGTTTTACATAGTTACATTACAAGAACCAAAAAAAACAAGCTGCGTGTATATAAACATGAAGAGAAGTAAAAGCCAACTAACCTTTCCTAGAGCTAGAGCAAGCTTTGAGAGATTTGGATATATGCTCTTTGCAGTCATGATCTAAAAAAGCATGATAATTAATACTAACTCAGTCTGACCGCTGAAACGAGAAGCTAGGCTAACATAGACAATGTACACCTAGATCAGTATAATTGACAAAGAGACAGAGAATGTCTATGCGTCTCTACCTAAGCATCAGCCTTTGGCATGAAAAATCTAAGCAATGAAAGAAAGATAACACGACACAAACGATTTACGTGGTATCCTCGTTCAGTGTGAACGAGACTAATCCACGGAGAAGGAAAACTCCTTCTCGGTCTTTCTTTTATTCACGTTGCTTAATAAGCAGCGGCAGCCAAGAACAACAATATATATACTCAACCCTAACATCAATAACCTAGGGTTGACGTAGGAGCTAAGAAGAGTAAAATACCCAAAAGCCCCCCCCCCCCCCCCCCCCCCCCCCCCCGCAAGCTTAGCATGCAGATTGCAAATGCCAAGCTTGGAGAGAAGATAGTGAAACTGATCGCTCCCTAACCCTTTAGTGAAAACATCAACGAGCTGCTCCTGAGAGGCAATCTTCGTAGGGAGGATGGTACGAGCAGAGACATGGTCGCGCACAAAGTAGCAATCGAGCTCAACATGTTTGGTCCGCTCGTGGAAAACCGGATTAGAGGCAATATGGAGAGCAGCCTGGTTGTCGCAATGAAGCACAGTGGGAGCAGACTGAACAACACCAAGATCACGAAGAAAAGCCCGAAGCCATAACACCTCACTAGCAGCACTCGCCATGGCACGGTATTCAGCCTCAGCTGATGACCGAGCAACCACTGTTTGCTTCTTAGTTCGCCAAGAAATGGGAGCACTGCCCAACATAACAAAGTATCCCGAGGTAGATCGTCGGGTGGATTGACAACCGGCCCAATCAGCATCACAATAGGCAGTCAACTGAAGGGTACCATCAGAGGGCAATAAAATACCCTGGCTAGGCGCATTCTTTAAGTAACGAAGGACGCGCTCGGCGGCATCCACATGTACAGGTGATGGCGAATGCACAAACCGGCTGAGAATGTTAACGGCGTAGACAATATCGGGCCGAGTGACCGTTAAATACTGAAGGCGGCCAACTAACCGCCGGTAAGCTGATTTGTCCACCGGACGCGGATCATCATCAAGGGGTGGCCGGGTGAGCTGATGATGCTGCTCAACAGGCACTGAACTAGGGCGCCCCCCCGTAAGACCTGCATCCTGGAGGAGATCAAGAGTGTACTTACGTTGACTGAGGACAATACCCTTCTAAGAACGAGCCACATCAATCCCTAAGAAGTACTTCAGGGACCCCAGATCTTTGATCCCGAACTGGGCATCGAGAGTGGTCTTGACCTGTTGAATGAACTCGACATCATCACCAGCCAGGACCACGTCGTCGACGTAGATGAGAGCCGAAACAAAACTGGTAGCTGTCTTACGGACGAAGAGAGAGTAATCAGCTCGGGAGCGAGTAAAACCAAGACCTAGGAGAGTGGAGGTGAATTTGGCATACCAATTACGGGACGCTTGCTTCAAACCATATAGGGACTTATGCAAGCGACAAACACGAGTGTCACCTGGAGCAGCAAAACCTTCGGTAATCTTCATATAGACCTCTTCCTCAAGGTCGCCATGGAGAAAGGCGTTATTTACATCAAGTTGGTGAACCGCCCATCCACGGACAGCCGCGACAGCAAGCAGGGCTCGAACACTGACCAGCTTAGCAACAGGAGCATAAGTGTCATGATAATCGACACCTTCAACCTGCGTAAAACCTTTAGCGACGAGCCTGGCCTTGTAACGTTCGATGTTCCCGTCAGGATTGTATTTAATCCTGTACACCCACTTTGGAGTGATAGCACGTTTTTCGGGGGGCAATGGCATGAGAGTCCAAGTGTAATTCTCTTCAAGAGCTCGGATCTCACGTTTCATGGCCTCTCGCCATTCAACATAACGAATGGCTTTGTAACATCCCGTTCCGGCAAAACCCATATTTCGATCGCTAGAAAGTTCGCGATTTAAAATCGAGCATTTCGACACTATTTCGGCGAAAATCGAATTATCGATCGATCGGATAAGCATACGTATCAATTATATATAATATATATATAATTAGTAAAAAGCAAAAGTGAAATTTAAAGTAAAGGAAAGTAAGTAGGCGGTGGGGAGCTTATTAAAAGTCCCCTGTCCATTTCTTTTCCCCATCCCCATCCGATATCATATTTTTCCATTTCCGCTACCGAGAGTAGAGCAGCGCGGCGGAGAGTTCAGGGGAGCGACTGGAGAAAAATTCTCCAAGCTCAATTCTTGAGCCCTGGTGATCCAAAAATCCCGTAAGTAATGCCTAATTCATCTATGCGTCGTGATGTATCGATTTAGAGCTTTAAAACGAGATTTTGGTTCAGGAATTTCTTGAATTCCCGATAAGCCAAATTAGGGTTTCGGAGTATCCGGAAGCCGGATTGAGCCCAAATTTCATATACGAGCTTCCTGCAGTGAGGTAATCAATCCTCTAGTCTAATCCCTGAATTTCGGCTATTATTTAGATCGGAGCCGGGATCGCTGAATTTAGCTCCGGCTAGGGTTTGATGTGTTTTTATCGAGAATTTGACCCGGAGCCCAGAACTAATATTGACCGGGATACTGCAGGGGATATTAGGACGGTCTCGGATTTTAATTCGGGATTCGTTCGTGAAATTGACGTTTTAGTACGGGAGGTTAAATCGGTGTTTGAACGACCAGAACTGGTGAGGGATTAGCACGGCATACCGGGTTTGTCGTATCACGATAATTATATTAATGCTTAGAATTGACCTAGGTGAACTAGAACGGCATGATTAGGGGTGTATGGACTTTTGTGCTATATGATGAACCCTGGACTGTTGTATGATATTATTGACTTCCCTAATCGATGTGAACCTTGTTTATGTGGATGATTGCATATATGTTGCAAATTGTGGGCTTGACTGTTGATATGCCTTATGATGGTTCGAAAAGGTGATTGGGGATGATTTTTCATGATTGTTGTATTTGGATGCACATGGGGGAAAATATATATTCCCTAGTGATATTATGATGTTTAAGGAGGATGACTTGCACGAGGGTTTATCCCGAGGAAGTGCAATTATTCGACTCCTGATTTACCTATGTTGAGCCAATTATGGCCAGGTCAAGTACATGTGCAGGTAACGAATTATGATTAAGCAAGATGAGATATGAATCATGTATAAGGATACCAAATATGAGTGTTGTGGTCTCACGGTCAACTACATAGTAATTAGGGCTCCCTATGCTATTACTCTATTATGATATGTATGATAGTCACACCTCTCATGTGGTGGTGACTGAAGAATTCTTACGAGATATGACCACACCTAGAGTGGTGTCGGGGTATGACTACACCCATAGTGGTGTGGGGTATGTATGACCACATCCGACGGGATGTTGGGGTATGTATGACTACATCCGACGGGATGTGGGGTATGTTTCCCGGGAGAGTTATTAGCATGGGAGTAGCCAGGCGCCTATAAGTAAAACATGATAAGATGCATATGCATAAGTCAAGGTGGTTGAGTCTTTTGCCTATTGGGATATGAGGACGGCTGAGGTCCGATCCTAGTGTTTTGGCTTGATTGTTAGATGTATGGTAGGGGTATGCTCTGTTATGAACTCACGATGCTATGATTATCTCACTCAGCTATGAGCTGACCCTCTTTATTCTTCTTCTCTGCTTATGCTATGTGTAAGCAGATCATCAGCAGCAGTAGATAGGTGTATAGGTGGGAGCTGAGAAAGAGTTGAAGGCAAGATGAGGTATGGTCTTCAACTACTCTGTGCTTGGACTACTACTCGGGATTTTGGCCAGTGATCCACACCTTTTTGTAAAAGAATGTTTTGAGAACGTTTTTCATGTGCTTACTAGCTTCTGATCTAGTGTGAGATATCCACGGGTGTGGAAAGTTAATGATATGTGTATATGTTGTGTAACTGTGTAAGTTGTGACGATTATGGTATGCAGTTAGGAAGTATGAAAGGTGTGACTATGGCTAAGAAAAGCCAATGCATATGGTTGTGAGTATATATGTTTGTGATGAATTATGTTGCAGGTTAAGTTGCAAGAACTGTTAGCCCATTACGCGAGTAATTCATGTCGAAATTTTATTTAGGTAAATTTTGATAATTAATGTAACACCCGAGATTAATTCCGCTGCAATTGTATGAACAATATGATTAGGCAAAA